ATTAAAGCACATTTTATGCACTAACAGAGTCATATGAGCTAGATACTCTTAATATCTGATAATTATGATACAGAGTGATCTTCTGATTTCATCATTTGTTCTACATTTATTAGTTGTTCTACAGTAAAAAAAAAAAAAAAAAAGCTTTCCCTTCTTCCCCATTGACTATATGGACCCTTGGAATCTTAATGTACAATGGGTGATAGTTAATGTCATTATTCATGTTGATGCTCATATTGACTCGGGTTTTTTTTAATTTATTTATTGATTTATTTTTGGTTGCGCTGGGTCTTTGTTGCTCTCCGTGGGCTTTCTCTAGTTGCGGTGAGCAGGGACTGCTCTTCGTTGCGTTGCATTGCATTGCACAGGTTTCTCTTTGCAGTGGTTTCTCTTATTGTGGAGCACAGGCTCTAGATGCACAGGCTTCAGTAGTTGCAGCATTTGGTCTCAGTAATTTCAGCAAGTGGGCTTGTAGTTGTGGTGCACAGGCTTCAGTTGCTCTGAGGCATGTGGAATCTTCCGAGACCAGGGATCGAACCAATATCCCCTACATTGGCAAGCAGATTCTTGTCCATTTTCCCCAGAGAAACCTATCTGTACCATGGTCTCAGATTTTAAAGCCAACATTGTAACCACTGTACCATACTGCATCCTTTGCCATGAGATATTTTTCTTACTGCCTGCAGTTAGTTTGCCCATCTCTTAACAGCCTTTTTGAACCCTCTTAACTTTTCATCTTCTGGGAAGTAGGAAGACTAATGACAGTCCTTTCCAAATTATTTGTAAACTGTATAAGTAAATACAAAAAGACAGAAATGGTAGGGACCTAACAGAAGCAGAAGATATTAAGAACAGGTGGCAAGAATACACAGAAGAACTATACAAAAAAGATCTTCATGACCCAGATAACCACAATGGTATGATCACTCACCTAGAGCCAGACATCGTGGAATGCAAAGTCAAATGGACCTTAGGAAGCATCACTATGAACAAAGCTAGTGGAGGTGATGGAATTCCAGTTGAACTACTTCAGATCCTAAAAGATGATGCTGTGAAAGTGCTGCACTCAATAGGCCAGCAAATTTGGAAAACTCAGCAGTGGCCACAGGACTGGAAAAGGTCAGTTTTCATTCCAATCCCAAAGAAAGTCAATGCCAAAGAATGTTCAAAGTACCACACAATCGCACTCATCTCACACACTAGTAAAGTAATGCTCAAAATTCTCCAAGCCAGGCTTCAACAGTACATGAGCTGAGAACTTCCAGATATTCAAGGTGGATTTAGAAAAGGCAGAGGAACCAGAGATCAAATTGCCAACATCCACTGGATCATCAAAAAAGCAAGAGAGTTCCAGAAAAACATCTACTTCTGCTTTATTGATTACACCAAAGCCTTTGATTGTGTGGATCACAACAAACTGTGGAAAATTCTGAAAGAGATGGGGATATCAGACCACTGTACCTGCCTCCTGAGAAATCTGTATTCAGGTCAAGAAGCAGCAGTTAGAACTGGGCATGGAATAGCAGACTGGTTCCAAGTCAGGAAAGGAGTATATCAAGGCTGTATATTGTCACCCTGCATATTTAACTTATATGCAGAGTACATCATGTGAAATGCAGAGCTGGATGAAGCACAAGCTGGAATCAAGATTGCTGGGAGAAATATCAATAACCTCAGATATGCAGATGACACCACTCTTACGGCAGAAAGCAAAGAAGAACTAAAGAGCCTCTTGATGAAAGTGAAAAGCAGAGTGAAAAAGTTGACTTAAAACTCGACATTCAGAAAACTAAGATCATGGCATCCAATTCCATCACTTCATGGCAAATAGATGGGGAAACAATGGAAACAGTGACAGATATTCTTTTCTTGGCCTCCAAAATCACTGCAGATGGTGATTGCAGCCATGAAATTAAAAGACACTTACTCCTTGGAAGGAAAGTTATGACCAACCTAGACAGCATATTAAAAAGCAGAGATATTACTTTGCCAACAAAGGTCTGTCTAGTCAAAGCTATGGTTTTCCCAGTAGTCATGTATGGATGTGAGAGTTGGACTATAAAGAAAGCTGAGCACCGAATAATTGATGCTTTTGAGCTGTGGTATTGGAGAAGACTCTTGAGAGTCCCTTGGACTGCAAGGAGATCCAGCCAGTCTATCCTAAAGGAAATCAGTTCTGAATATTCATTGGAAGGACTGATGCCGAAGCTGAAACTCCAATTCTTTGGCCACCTGATGGGAAGAACTGACTCATTGGAAAAGACCCTGATGCTAGGAAAGGTTGAAGGTGGGAGGAGAAGGGGATAACAGAGGATGAGATGGTTGGATGGCATCACCGACTTGATGAACTTTAGTTTGAGTAAGCTCCAGGAGTTAGTGATAGACAGGGAAGCCTGGTGTGCTGCAGTCCATGGGGTCACAAAGAGTTGGACACAACTGAGCAACTGAACTGAACTGATAAGCAAATAGTCTCCAACTAAAAACCTGACAGTGTCTGCTGTGAATTACACATTTGACTTTTAGATGTGGATTTTAGCTGCTTAGAGACCCTTCTCATTTCTCTTTAGGATCATAATTCATAGCCAGGATAAATTACCTACAAAAGGTAATTCTTAAAATCTTAGGTGAGGGGTATTAGAGTCAGGAGACTCACTTGACCATGTTACTTATCTATGAGGACTGTGTGTGTGTGTATGTGTGCACATGGGAGTTACTGAAATTCATTCATCCATTCAGCAGATATTTGGGCCAGATCCTGTACCTGTTGAAGGTTATGAAATTCAAACCAGTTAATACAGGGAAAACCAACAACACTACTGACTACAGATACTGAGAAACTTAACAACGGAGAGAATCTAAAATTACAGTTTGGCTTTTTAATAGTTACGATAGTTAGAGTAATTTTTAAATTTTTATTTATTTATTTTTGGCTACATGTCACCACATGACTTGTAGGATCTTAGTTCTCTGACCAGGGATTGAACCCAGACCCTGGTAGTGAAAGCACCAAATCCTAACCACTGGATCACCAGGGAATTCCCTAAAGATTTTTTTAAAGTCCAGCTTCACTAGTAATCAAAGAAATGCAAATTGAAACAATGATGTGATTCCATTTTCTGTCTAACACATTTTCTGTGTCCAGATTAAGACACTATGAAAAAGAAAAAAAATGCCCTGTTTGATGAAAGGGCTCCCCTCATAGCTCAGTTGGTAAAGAATTCGCCTGTATTGCAGGCTACCCCGGTTTGATTCCTGGGTCAGGAAGATCTGCTAGAGAAGGGATAGGCTACCCACTCCAGTATTCTTGGGCTTCTCTTGTGGCTTCAGTTGGTAAAGAATCCACCTGTAACGTGGAAGACCTGGATTCAATTCCTGGGTTGGGAAGATCCCTTGGAGAAGGGAAAAGCTACCCTCATTCTGGCCTGGAGAATTTCATGGACTGTTGCAAAGATTTGGACGCGACTGAGTGACCTTCAGTCACTCACTCACATTTTGATGAAAGGAAGACACAATAGTTAATCTCATCCTTCTTTTGATAGTAGAAATAAAAATCACATTCTTTCTGACAGGTAGTTTAGTAATATTTATCAAAAACCTTGAAAATGTTTATAGGTTTGATCTAGAAATTCATTTCTTAGGAATTTATTCAAAGGAAATAGATTGTTATAGAAATATTAAAAAATAATTATTTTATAGTTGGAGATTGGCTGAACGAAGTATAGACAAGCCTTATGGTAGAATACTGTGCAGTCATTAAAAACAATGTGATAGACAAATATATAATACATGGAAGAGGTTTGTATATGTTTAGGGAGAACTTATATATGACCCCATTTTTTTGTAAATAAAAATGTGCATACATTGGGAAAAAACTGGAAAGGTCTTATATATTCTAGAACAATTTTTTATTTTTGATTAGCTATATTTTCTAAATTTCTTAAAGTGAACATGAACCTTTTTTATTAGAAAAAAAAGTGGGGGGAAGTATTAGCAGGAATATCACATAAGACAAGGGAAACTAACATATAAAAAGCACTTCCTGGGTCAAGCACTGTGGTTGGTGCTTTATAACTTCACCTAATCTAACCTCACTGTGGAGCCTCCTGCCTCTGTCCTCGTCCCTCCAGTCCATTTTCACATAGCTATAGGAGTGATTCTTCTAATAGCAAAGATTTAGAAGAGAACACACCAAACTATAGATAGTAATTACTCCTGGAATTTAGACTGAGGAGATGGCTATAAGAGAAGACTTTCATTTTTCAATTTAATATTTCAATGTTATTTGTACTGTGTGTGTGTGTGTGTGTGTGTGTATACACATATAAGTGGGGAGGAAAAGCTTGTGTTGCCATGTCACTTCCCCTTTAAGCCCTTCAGTGGCTTACCTCATCTCCCACTTCTCTTCCCCTTACACCTTCTACTCCAGATCTTCTTTCTTCAGATGAAACTTCGTGCTTTTTTGCCTCCAATTGGGTCCTCCCACTTCACCAACCTGGATCTGGTTATTCAGCCTTTTTAGGTCTTTAATATCACTTACCCCGGGATGCCTTTCTTGATCCCCTCCCTTGGTTTCCCACCATACATGGTACTTTTCCCATCATAGCCTTCATCATACTTTGCTAGAATTTTATGGTAAATTGTTGTCCTTCCCTGAAGAGACTGTAAGCTCCCTGAGGCATGGACTCTAGCACCTAGAACAGTGACTTGAACATAGTAAGTGTTTGATAAGTAGTTGTTGAATAAACACTTCATATTTTACAGTTGTGGATCCTGAGCCTTAGGGAGATGTTAGATAACTTGTCCAGAGCCTCTCGGCCAGTAATATTTCAGAGCTAACTTTCCCATCCTTGTGTTCGATACTTGTAAAGTTCATGTTCTTTCCATTGTACCACTCAGGTGAACAGAGGCAGAGCCAATCCCTAAACATGCCTCAGAATTGGGGTCTTTACTTCCTGGACCTTTCCTGTTTTTGACACTTATGTCTGTCTGATTTCTTCCAGTGTGGTGCAGGTCCTGCTTGCGGCTGGTGCTGACCCAAACCTCGGGGACGACTTTAGCAGTGTATACAAGACTGCCAAGGAGCAGGGAATCCATTCTTTAGAAGGTAAGTGTGGACTACTGTGCTGTTCTGCAGGCTCTCCTCCCTGCAGCTTCCAGCAGCCGTTCTCCGTGCCAGTTCTACCAGCAACTCAGGTGAGAGCCTGCAAGTTGCTCATCCTCTGGGGACTCGTGGATAACCCAAAGGCTTGGGGCAGATCCCCTTCACAGCCCCCTCTGGCTCTGTAATTTATGTCACGTCAGGTCTTAGGGATTAAAATAGAGGCCTGATTTCATGACTGAGGAGAGGGGTAGGAAAATCTTTTAACTGATGTTCTGCCAAAAGTGCCTCAACCTGTGGAGTCTCAGATGAGTGCACAATGAAGCAGGTTTCCATAAGATAATTAAGGCAACTGTGTGGAATGTGGATTTATTCTTCCTCTACTTCCTGCAGACTTAGCCTGCCCCAGCCCTGCCCCAGAACTAGAAACCAGCTTTACTGGTTCCCTTAGCCTCACAAGTCCCTCCACACTACCCTGAATACTGTTTTTTCTCCCCCTCCTGTATGTGGAATATAGTCCTCTCTCTGACATTGGCCCCTCGACTTACTCAATGATCCAGGACAAAGAGTGGACTTCCTCTGTGCCTTGATGTCTGTGCTTGTAAAATGGGGTGGTCCTCATTGCCCTGCTGGGGTACTGTGTGGGTGATTGCTTGGACTTCTCCAGAGGAAAGAGCTGATATGTACCTTTACCAGGGCTTGGTCACATGTCTGTTGGAAGGTACCTGGGCGAGTTAGTCTGAATTACCTCTGGTGAGTGGTTTTTTGAAAGTGGAATTGAGAAGATGGCAGGTTGAAATGACTGCAGACAGAGATAAATATTTTACGTTTGAGCTTTGCTTGTCCAGATTGTCTCTGCTGCCCACCCATTATCCTGGCTCAGTCACAGAGCCTGAGATTCCCCTTGCTTTCCAGCAACAGGGCAGCTAAACTGTGGCTGCTTTAGAGTTTGCAGTGATGCCAGGAGAGACAGCCTTGCTGACTGCTCGAGGGTCAGAACATTGACCTGAGGGGAGGTTCAGCAGAGGGGAGAAGTATGCTCAGCTCTCAGAACCATCAGCAAGGCTGCCAGACCGACATGGGTGTGTGGTAGCCTAGGGTGGAGGTGTCATTGCTGCCCCAGCAAGGTTTCTCATAGCAGCTTGAGAAAAATGTCAAAAGCATCAGAGCATTGCTACCCAGGTAAAGTGTGAAGTTGTTCTCCCCTGCCTCTCCACCTCTGAACCTGCTCCTTCTCGGTCAAGCTCCCTTGCTGTAGCTAGATCCTCCACAGAGCCTTTTCTGCAGCCTGTCCTCTGCTGCTCTTTCTCTAAATCTTAGCCCTTTATATGGTTATTTGAACTCTCATCTGCTCATATGTCTTTTCTTTCTTCGTGAGCTGACAGTTCTATGTGCAGGCCGTGACCTATGCCACCTTGGATTCCGCACTGAGCTGGGGGAATTATATTCATTTTGTTTGTAGTACAGGAGAATTTCATGAGTGCCAGACTTGCCCTATATTTGCAGCCTGATGTTTGGGAACTCAGCTTAAAGTTGTGGGATAGCTTAAAGGCTGTCCTCCATTCACTCAGGCACGGCATTGCCACCCTCAGCTCTATCTTCTGTTCTGGTGCTCTCACCAAGGAGGAGCATTTGCTGAGGGGCAGGGCCAGGTAGAAGGGAAGGATTCGAGGGCCTTCTCATCTGCCCTTGGGATCCAAACACTGCCCAGTAAGCGTTTTTGATTTCACAGAATCTCAGAACTGTGAAGCCATCTAGTCCTGCCTGTGCTCTCACACCAGTCCCCACCCCTGCATTTCAAGTTTTGAACCTTTGTATTCTGGGGCTTCCCAGGTGGCTCAGTGGATAAAGAGTCCACCTGCAGTGCAGGAGTTGCAAGAGATGAGTTCGATCCCTGAGTCAGGAAGATCCTCTGAAGGAGAGCATGGCAACCTGCTCCAATATTCTTGCCTGGAGAATGCCATGGACAGAGGAGCCTGGCAGGCTACAGTCCATAGGGTCACAAGAGTCGGACATGACTGAAGCGACTGAGCATGCATCCACCTGTGTGTTCAGCTTTCCAGGTTGATGCTCATATTCAGCATTCTAGATCAGTGGTCAGCACACGTTTTCTGGCAAGTGCCAGATAGTAACCATTTTAAAGCTTTGTGGGCCAGTTGGTCTCAGTTTTGGCTATTTAGCTTGGCCATTGTAGCATAGAATATAATATACAAATGAGTGTACATGGATGTGTTCCAATAAAACTTTATTTACAAAAGTTGGCAGCAGGCTGGATTTGGCCCATAGGCTGTATTTTGCCAACTTTACTTTAAATATTTTCTTTTTTCTCTCCTTCCTTCGTCCTTTCCTTCCTCCCTCCCTCCCTTGCATCCTCTCTCCTATCCTTCCTCCCTCCTTCCCTCCCTTCCTTGCTTCTCTTCTCTTTCTTTGCCTTTTTAATCAGTCTCCTTTGAATTTTTTTAACTCTTGAGCTCGCCAACCTACATTCTAGGTAGGTAGGCAACAGAAATATTGGAACAGACTAATATATCTCTCATGAAATGCAGACAGAAATATTAACTATCTTTTAATTTATATGATCTGCAAATTTAGTGAATAGGCTTTCTATGGACTCATTTACTTACTCAAAAGTACTTTTTAAAAATTTTATTGATTATGTTCCTATCTAGCAGGGACTGGTCTCAGCACTGTTAGACAAGCAAGGTCCCTGCCATCATGCACTTCATGTGCTAGTCTTTGATTACAGTGTTTATAAGGACTCTATTATATAAAGTACAGAGCCCTGAAACTCATTCATGATCAGGACAATTTAGAAGCATTATTCAGCAGTCAGAATTGTAGATCCTCCAAACTTCTTTCTTTTGTATCCTCCATTTCTTCATCTTGTCCACAAAATTGTAAGAGATTCTCTCAGATTTATTGCTGAAATAAAAACATGTTTTAACATTTGTCTTAATTTGTTGCATAGAAACCCTTGCCCAGCAAGATGTTAGGTTATTCTGGCATGGTTTTGTATTATCCCTAGCAAACCCACACTGGTGCCCAGTAATCACTAAGTGTTTCAGAACCATTAAATATAAATAAATTCTAGATTTAAGCAATAACTATCAACTATCATTCATAAGTTCACTGCTCTGTGGCTTGCAAGATCTAACTCGTAGCTTTTTCTCTGTTTTGAATTCCAGGCTGCCTTTGCCAGCCATGGTTTTCTGGCAGCTCCTCTGAATTTCCCTGGTGTGTCAATGTGGAGGTACTCTGCCCTTGGACTTCATGTGCTCTGCTTTCTGACTCTGAACCTGGAGAGCGATGGTCCTTTATCATCATCATCTCAGAGTTCTGCTCTCCTTACCAGCCGAAGCCTTTAGCTCCTTGTTAAACATACTTTTCTTTCCTTTTCCCATTTAGAAATACCTCATTCATTCATCCATTCAACCAATATTTATTGATTGCCCACTGTATGCAAGTCACTGTACCCAGCTCAGGGTCTTGTTCACTGAGGAAGTAGACAAAAACAAAAGAATCCTGGTTTTTGTTTTGTTTTGTTTTTATTTTGGTTGGATTGACTTTTTCATGGGAAACTACCTACTTGGGGATATGTGAGGAGGTTAAGGAGAAGAAGAGTTACAAGCTCCTTGCCCAGAGTGTGTAGGCAAATTCACAGGAAAGTTCTTCAGTATTGGAGCAGAGTCGGTGCTATCAAGTTCACTACATTTCTAATAGACATTTCTGTGGGGCTTAGCCTGTGGTCATTACTGAAGGGGAGTGCTGAGTTATAGTTTGACCTTGGCAAGACCTCCCTAAACCCCTGTAATATATCCCTTGTCTACTTTTTCAGTATTATTGTGAAGTTGAAGAGATGTGATGTGTGAATCATAAAGTATTCTACAGTTACAATTGCTTATTAATTTGGTTCATTTATAATTGGGCATGTACTTCCTGAGTGCCAGGCACTCTGCCAGATGCTGGGAATGAATTAAAAGGAATATATATGGTCTAGTCCCTCAATATATGTGATCTGCTCTCAGTCAAGTAATAAGACAGACCTATGAACAGGCATCACAGTGCAGAATGATAAATGCAAAGGTAAATAGGTGTACAAAGGATATAGGTAGCACTTGTATAGGTAGTGATGCCCTCTACCTGAGGGCAGACTGGTGTCTGGGAAGTGTCACAGGGTAAGTGACTTTGAATTGAGTCTTAAGGTTGAGTCAGAGACTGCCAGGCAGGCTAAGTGGGATGGACTTTCCAGGCAGAAGGAACAACACATGCAGAGATAAGGGCTAAGTAATAGCAGGTGGAATCATCTGCCACAGTACTAAGAACAGCTAGAAGTAAGACCATAGCAGGAGGCAGGGTTCTACGTGGGAAGGACCTTGTAAGGCAATTCTAGGGAGCTCATAGTGTTTTCTAAAGGCCACTGAAGGATTTCAAGTAGGGGAATGCTCAATTTACATTAGCAGTTTAGATGGACTCATGGGGTGGGGATGAATTGGAGAGGAGAGGTTAGCAATGGTTCTTAATGTTTTGATCCCTTTGAGAATTGGATGAGAAACCATGCTCCTCTCCCTCAAAATGCACTTCTCACTTCTGGGGATTTCTAAAAGAAATATTTGGGAGCAGAGAGAAATAGATATTCGAAAAATATTAGGAGGATATTGAGTATTCGGTGGAATGTGGGAATTGATGGAAAAGGAGGCACCTGTCACCTTGGTTTCTGCTTTGGGCAAACCATTGGATGAGTGGGTCTGGAGTTCAAAGACGTCTGGCAGCATTTGCTTGATAGTTAAAATAATGAATGTGACTGAAACTGCCTGAGGAAAGGAGTTAAAATGAAGGGATAGGAGGACAAGTCCTTCACTCAGGATCCCAGCATTTAAGATGTGGGAAGGAGCGAGGATCCAGGCAAGGAGACCGAAAGGTATTGGAGAAGCTGCCTGGTTTTCTTCTCTCAGAGAGGTGCTCTGTGTCTGTCCTGCCTGCTCAGAATGGGCACAGCCTAGAGAGAA